GCCCCACCTCCCGCCCTGGTGAGCCGTTGGAAGGCGGTTGGGAGGGGTAACGGCTGCCGCCTAGAGGCCCCGCCCCCGCCCGTGTCTAGGTGGAGGTTCCCGACGGAAACGCGGGGAAAGCGCGGAAGCGTTGAACACTGCTGCTGGCAGTGCCTTAGAGCTGCAGTGTAAGGAGGGTGGCGGCAGGACCTCTTTCCAGGGAGGAAAGCCGTCCCCTCACTGACGGAGGTGACGGGGGTTGCGGGCATGAGAAACTGCCAAGTTTTCCGAGCTCAGGGGTCAGATTCTTCCTCGTCCCTGCCGGGATCAGCATTCCTGGGGGTGAGGGAGACGGAAGTCCACGTTGTGTTGCGTGCGGAAGGGTCTGCCAGGGGGCTCCATCTGAGTCCCTGTCCTGTCCGGAAAATCGTGAGAGAAGCCTCTCCGAGGATCCGCCTCTCCAGCTGCAAAAGCTTGAAAGCCAGCCTTCTGAGCTGATCCCAAGGAAGCAAACGTGTGTCCCAGTAACAGTTGAGACTGGATCATTGTAATGTAGGGCCGTTCTGTTCATTGTAGGGTGTCGAGCAGCATCCCTGGGCTCTACCCACTAGATAGTAGTAGCACGCTCTCCGGTGACGACAACCAAAAATGTCTCCAGTCATTGGGGGTTGTTCCCCCTCCCCTTCCCCTTGGGCCGACAGAATCTCCCCCTGTTGAGTACCACTGGTTTAAAGAGACCCTTCCACCCTGCTTGGCGTGTAGGCTGGAAACCCGAAACCCTCATTTTCTGAATCAAACAGTTCCCAAAGGTGGAAACTAGGCACGAGGTCACCCAAAGTTATAGGTCAAACCCAGAATTGCTAATATAAAGTCTAAGGGCTCCCAATCCCTTGCCCCCCACCCGCCCCTCCCCCCTTACTGCCTCCTTTCATTGCTGACTTCCTCCCTCTCTGGAAGCCTACTAGAAATACTGTTCTGAGAAAAGGGGTGGAAAGGCAGACTGAGTGGATTATTAGCCGCAGCCTCCGGAGAAATAACATTTTTGGTTGTTACAGGAAGACCTAGATTTAAAACAGGAGAGAGGCAGCTGATGAGAAACACATGTGCGCCTTGGATCTGTGCTACACCTGTTAGTCTTGCATTTGTCATGCTTCTGGGAAGCATTTTTATTTGCAAAAACGGCTGTTCCAGCACGTGGTTGTGGCTGTTTCTGCAGATGTGAAAAGTTTTACATCACACTTGGGGAAAATAAACACAGACCAAATAGTTCTCTTTCAGTTATTCTTCCAATGAGGTGCTTTGTGTACATGGTCCAAGTTGGAAACCCACCCACTTTGAAATATTCTTTATCTCACTTGAGATAAACAAAATAAACAAGCTCTCCCCAAAGTATAAGCTAGCCCTGCCTCTCCTTTTAATTTCTAACTAGATGTTCAGTATCTTATTTTTAATCAAGGATTATACTGGGGAACATTGGAGATCTTCCTTGCTGACAGTGTCGTCAGTCTGGCTCAAACTCATAAAAATTCTCGACAAAAAAAAGGATGATACCAAAATAAGCAACATTTTGCATGGGTCAGAAAACAGGAAAGCATTGAACTTACCTACTCTCTTTAAAAAGAAACATTAAGATGCCAACTCCATGTCTCCAGTGGATAGAAAAGTGCTATTAAATATTTGTGAAATAAGTGAATGAACATCTCATCAGATATACCATAGCTGTACACATCCCCAGTCACATTTATGCAGTGCAACTCCACAGACCTGGCACACAGAGGGGCTCAATATTTAACAAATGAAAAAATATTTTATTAAATAAATGTGCACATGAGGATGCATGTGTGTAATGAAAATGTTTTCATTATAACAAGATGCCACAGGAACTTTTTATCAGCCTATGATAAGATTGGTTTTGTTATACATCATTTCATTTAAAAGTTGCAGAACCTATCAACAACATCAAAAACTTACTGATACACAAAGTACGCTTCATCATGGTAAAGATCACCATTAAACAGTCTTGAAAATATTAGGGCACAGCTTCTCTGAAGTCCATGATATAGTTCACCTAGCCAACTTTCTGCTTTGGAGAAGAGATACTTGAAATGTTATGCAAAGGTGGGGATCAAGGTGAAGCCGCTTGCATATCACAGGTGATACGTCCCTAAATGATTACATTGAGCACTGGCTTCGCCATCCTGTGAGCACAAGATCTTTTGTGCTTGCAATGTCCTTGGTAAAGCTGCCTCAACTTTTAGCAAGGTGGCCCCCAAACATTAGGGAGAGGAAGGTAGTTTCAGGAGCCTGAGTGCTTGCCAGTGCAGTCTTGGCAGAGAGGGAGTGGACTCCTCTCTGGCCAGACAAGGGGATCACAGCTACCACAACTTCACAGGACCAGTCTTCAACAGCGACACCACGTGGTGGCAAGGGGCAATAGTAGGGAGACGGCTGACCTGAAGTGAAGGCAGCTGTAGCTGCTTTTGACACAAAACCCTGGGAGGTGGGCAATTTAAAGGAGGAAATCACTGGATTTACCCCCAATAGTGTATGTGAGTATCCCAGCGATTAATAAGAAGACAAATGTGAGCAAATCCACCGCCCCACTTTGACCCATGTGTTAGCTCTGAGTTTAACAGTCTGGTGGAAATTTTTTAAAAACACCTTATATATTAACTCGTTCAACCATATCAATGATCTGAGAAGTACCTAGAGATGGGTTTCAGAGTGCTGCTTGGTTTTACTGCAAGTCCTGTTTACTCTAAAAGTGAAACCAATTTCAACTGATTTTGAAAAGCCCTTTGGTGCCACTGCTTTTAGGAAGGGCTTCAAAGATAGACGGGAGAACTCAATTTTTACCATGCCTCTAAGCCAGGGGGATACAAAAATGAATAAAGCCTGCTCCTGAGGATCTAGTTTTGAAGCCAAACACTGGAATGGAGTTGGGGGGGGGCAGGGCGGGTGCACATTCATACAATACTCTAATTGTACTCTCCAAGAAAAGCGCAGCAGGAACCCCAAGGTGGAGAAAAGCCATTCTGGACAGGAGGATGCGGAAAGATGTTTGACAAGAAGGCATTCAGAGTGTTTCCATATGTTCATACCCTCTGACCCAGTGTTTCACAACTTCCAGAAATGTATCCAAAGGAAGCAATCAGATGTAGACACATGCACATGTAAAAGGCAGTTCACAGCAGCATCATTTATAAGAAAAAGATGGAAGCAACCTAAGTGTTTAGAGTATGTAAATAAATGGGATCAATTTGTGGAAACGGAAAGGTTATGGCTCTGAGTCCACAGAACTGTGTAACTCCAACTGGGGCAGTGGTCTTGTCCTATGGATGTATGCACATGTAGAAACTCACCAAGCTGTACATTAAACTTTGAAAATAGAAATAAAAGGACATGTGGACATAGACAGATGGGTAGTAGCTAGATAAGCTAGCCACATGAAACCAGAAAAACCTAAAAATGTCCCCAATGTCAACTGATAAATGCAATACATAAACTATATACACTATCTTAATTTTAATTTTATTAAATATATATATATATTACATAGAAAAAAATACTGGAAGGGGAGAAACCAAAACGTTTACATAAATTGTTGGTGACAGGGAGAGAAACAGGAGATTTTTCTTCTGACATTTCTGCCTGCAGGCCCACATTTCCTAGAACAAGCATGTGCTGCCTCCTGGTTCCAGTCTGGGATCTTACTCCCCTGTGCCCCTTAGATCAGGTGGGGAGAGACTTCCATCCCTGTGTAGGCAGAGACCATGGATCTTGTCAGCCGGAAGCAGTTATTAAAGACCTACCATCCTCCCTCATCACCCCCAAAAGATTTGAAGGATAGAATCTCTTGATGGTATCAGCCGGGGAGAAGGAGGGGGGTTGGAAATGAGGCAGGCTAGTAAACCAGGGCAAATGGAATCAGGAAACTGATAGTTAAAGGGCCAAGGAGTTTACAGCTATCTAGTGAATCACAAAATCCAATCTTCCCCGACCAGGGACACTTAAGAGTAAATGGTTTCCACTTTTCCTCTCTAACCAGAGGGTAAATAGCTTAAATCTAATTGGTGCCATTTGTGCCGACTACACCCAAGGATGGATGAAATCAGAGGAATAAATCTCATTTTGGTGCATGAGCATAAAGCTGATGAATATTCTGCTGAGATCTTCCCTAAGACCTCCCCTAAACTCTCACCCTTTAAAACCCTCTCGATTATTGTTTGTTCATTCTCTCTCTCCTTTCTCTTCCCCCTTACTCCCCCCCAAGGGCTTTACCTTTTCCTTTGTCTCTCCTAAACTCCAAGGGCCTTTCTTCTGCCTCTGCAACTTGTTTCCTGAGCCCATGCAACCCAGCTGGCTCACTCCTACCACCTCTGTAACTTTCTAAATACATTTTCTCTTATAATTAAAAAAAGAAGAGGTGTCAGCCTGGTACCATCTGTCTTCACAGTCCTGGGAATACTGAGCCACCATGTCGGAATCTGGTGGCCATGCTGGAAGGCATGAGGGAGAGGTCCAAGCCTCTAGGGGAGAATGAGGAACTAGAAGACAGAGAATACTGAACCCCAAACTTCTAATCCCAGACGGCTGCACCATCCTGGCTGAGATGCCTTGTCTAATTTCCTGCCCACAAAAATATAACTAAATAATATATTTTAAGACACTTTGTATTCAGGCCATTTGTTACGCAAAACTAGCTGAGACACTGCTATTCAATCCTCAGATGACCCACAAGGAGGAGCCTGAGGCTGAAGGGTGAGGAGATGCACCCAGGGCTACTTAGCTCCCAAGATACCCTGGGATTCCAGGTGGGATCTGTTCTGAACTGCTCTTTCTGCCTCCATGGCTACTTAACCCCCAGCTCCTCTCGCCCCCCCCCCCCCCAGCTGCTCCTGTTTGTCTTTGGCCACGTGTCTCCTGCACTCCTGTCCTCTCTTGAACCCATGCCCTGCTCTAATCCTCTCGCCTGCTGACTGCTCTCTTCTTCAATTTGCTATACACATGTATCCAGGCAGTTCTTTTTCATGTTTTATTTTATTTTTAAAAAATATTTGAAGGGAGGGAGAAAGAGACAGAGAGAAATATCAATGTGGGGGAGATACACTGATTGGCTGCTTCTCACATGCCCCCAAGTAGGGCCCTAGTCTGCAACCCAGGCATGTGTCCTGACTGGGAATCGAACTGGCGACCTTTCCGTTCCCAGGCTGGCACCCGACTCCATCCACTGAGCCACACCAGCCAGGGCTCTTTTTATTTTTGACTCTGATTATCTTCTCTATTATAGTGACCTTCTTTCAGTTAAGTACAGGATAAAGAATAACCATGTATAAAAACAATATAGCACACACAGCTACACACGTACAGAGGAGATAAAAGGTCAATCCCTCTTCTGACTCCACTTTACTACTGTTGTCCTAGCTTTTTCTAGGAGCTACAGGGGCATTTGTAACCATCCCCTTTTCATTTATATTTCATTCTTCAGAAAACAAACCAAGTAACATATATTTTGGAAATTATAAAACTGATTTGTCTGTTTGGGTCTGTAGTCACAAAATTATTATTCTTTTTCTTTTTCTTAAAGACCTCAAAAAACTTGCTAAAATATAATAAAATGTATTTGCTCAAATCAATCACTTTATTGGATTATTCCTGTGATTAGATTACTTCTCGGTGATAGTCTGCTTGTTAGATTAGAGGCTTTTATCTGGCTTAGTGCAGTTTTATATTCTCTCAATTACGCTCATGAAGCAAAGAAACAAAATCAGTAACTTCTAATTCTCTAGAGAATGATTTTGATAGACATTTTAAGTGTCTAGCAAAATAAAATAAGATCACTTTTTTCTCAGTAAAGAAACTGCAGGATAAACCATGAATTTGTTGTGGCTTTCGCCAGGACTGGCCTCTTCTGCTCCAGACAGCCTTCTCCAGCACATGGTCTGAATCTGGACCCTGCTCCAAAAACTCAGTGGTCTCCCCCTTCATCTCGCCTAAGCCCTTGGACTTTCCAGGCCCTCTTCTCACATACCACCCACGACACACATTTCCTGTGCTGCCCACGTTCCTGGCCAGCCTTATTTTTCATTGTCCCTAAGTAAGTTTTCTCTGCTCTTTTCACATTGGTCACCTAACTACCCCACTAGGTGACCTGGTTCTTCCTCCTAAGAGTGATCTCGCCAAATTCACATGGCTGGATTTTTGGCACGTGAAGACTCTGGCCTAGAACCCAGGGTTCCCAGATTTGCAGGGAAGCACATGAACCAAATCAGGTATAAGCCATTTCCCTGAGGAGCAGACAAAGGTCAAGGGACAGATGTCCAAAAAAAAAAAATCAACAGGGAGGCTATAAAGAGGGCAGGAAGACGGAAGCAGACAGAAGCCATGATAAAAGACACCAAACCGACCAATGGAACTTCTCAGAAACACAGAGACCAAACTGAGCCCCAAAACACAGGAAGCAAGATGATGAGAGGGAACATGCTCCACAAGGCATTTCCTACAAACACAACATAGGCTTCACAAATTCTAGGCAGTACCTGGGCCTAAGCCATCCCTGTCACAGAGAAACTGATGTCCAGGGGCGGGGGGCAGCGTGCAACTCCCCATGGAAAGACAGGACAAGCACGGGCCCAGGGTCTCTCCCCACCATTCATTCCAGAATCTCAAAGCTCTGAAGGCTACGTCTTCCCTTAAGTTTGCAACAAAGCCATTCGGTGGCAAAGCTTGCCTTAAGCCATTTACAATTTTTGCTTGTTCAACTTTGAGTGCCTCGGATGTTTTGCAACAGAAATATAACTCTGATGAGCATGCACTAGCCCAGATGCCCTGGGGTGTCCTGTCACATTTAGGACATGTGGCTGAAAACCGGGAGCTCTGAATCTGGAACTGGCTCTGGTGTTGGGCTTTGGGGTAGACCACAGCAGTGAGGACCTCCTGTGTGCTGGGGACATCAGGAAGGAAGGGGCCATAAACTAAGGAGGTGGGTGGCCTCTAAACGCCGGAAAAGGCAAGGAAAGGGATCCTCCCCCACAGCCTCCAGAAGCAACCAGCTCCGCCAACACCTTGACTATAGCCTAGTGACAACCATTTTCCATTTCTGGCCTCCAGATCTTTAAGAGAACAAGTTCACGCTGTCTCAAGCCATGCGGTTGGTGGCCACTTGTTACAGCTGCCCTAGTGAGACTGGGCAGGCCCTTGACTAAAAAAGGCTTACATCCTCTCCTTTACATGCAGCACTGCCCAGTTAGAGCTTTCTGCAATGAACTGATCTTGACATGTAGCTATTGTGACTGAGGGGTTGGGGTTTTAGTTTAGTTAATTCAGATGGAAACTGAAAAAAAAAAACCCAAAAAAAACCGCACATGTGATTAGTGGATACTTAACGTACAGCATAGGCTGTCGCTACTCAGTGGCCTGGGAACCAACAGCATGAGCAATCCCTGGGAGCTGGTTAGACGTGCAGGGTCGTAACCTGCTAAATCCAACCCATACTTCATTGAGACCCCCAGGGAACTCACGGGCCACCAAAGTCTGAGACACCAGGGTAGAAGCCACCATCCACTTCCACACAAATACTTTACAACGGAACATGAGGAGGCAAATCCCTTTGTAGCAGTTCTCAGGGTCAGCTTCAAAAAAAAAAAAAAAAAAGTAATGCCTCGAAGCATACTATTAGCCAAGGAGATAACTAACAGCTGCTGAATAGGTCAGACCCTTGACCATCTGTTATATGTAGACTGAATTGTGTGCTCTCATAATTCATGTTGGAGTTTTAACCCCTGGTGTGACTATATTTGAAGGCAGAGCCTTTAAAAAGATAACTAAGGTTAAATGAGGTCACAAGGGTGGGCCTCTGAACCAATGTCATAGACACCATTACCAGAAGAGAAATACCAGGAATGCACAAAGAGAAAAGGTCACATAAGGACACAGCCAGAAGGTGGCCGTCTAGAAGCCAAGGAGAGAGGCCTCACCTTAACCCTGCCAGCTCCTTGACATTGGACTTTCAGCCAGAATCGCTGAGAAAATAAATGTCTGTTTAAGCCACCCAGTCTGTGATATTTCATCATGGCAGTTCAAGCTGCCTAAGACACCATCTCATTTAAGCCTCATAAAACCCTGTCAGGGATGTCTTTTAATAAAAGTAATGACACTGATGAAAACAACGCCATTTACTGAGGGCCTGCCCTGTGTCAGACAGGTTAGAGGCACATGTCAAAGCTTTCTCCTTCACCGTCACATACCACAGAAGAGGACGTGGAGGTGCAGAGAGGCCACAGTGTTGCCCCCCGCCAAGGCACTGTAACAGAGCCCAGGTCTGGGCCAGACCCCCATCTTCCTTTTTGCCACAACCCTCATTTCCACTTTTCCTCAATTTGCACGCTAAACTATAATTAGATGCAATGAAGCTTTATTCCCCCTAAAAAAAAACTTCTACAACTTCCCCAGCATAGTCTATAGTCTAGACTCCATACTCTGGGAGCCCATATTTAGCCTGACAAGCTCAGGGAAGGCCTGCATGGGGGGCCTTAGAGACTCAGAGACCTAAAGCAACCATACAAGATATTATGAAACTAAAACGTTCCAGCCAAAATTGAGTCTTGAAAGATGGTCATGTCCTAGGCCAGTATCTTTCTTGACAAAAGGTCAATCTTTACCTTAACTAGGCCTGTCTATTGTCTTTTTGCATCTACAATAACGGACCTTTGGACTGCCAGGGTGACTTCCTTTTACCAGACCCCTGAGGCACAATCTCCCACCAGAGCAGGACACCCAAGAGGCCCTCATTGTCACTGTTATCCTGGTCATTGTTTCACCTATGTAATAGAAGTGTCTGTTTTTGCTCTTTATCCAATTCCAGAGATACCCACCCCACTTCCCCACTTGCTTTCTCCTGCCTTCCTAATCTGTCACCAGTAGACTTCATGTAATCCCTTCACATCTTCGACTCTGATGTATAAAATAAAGTGATAACTGCCATTCCCTGGAGCATTTTCTCAATCAGAGATTTTGCTTCCTGGCAACTGTCTTTAGTTTGGCTCAAATAAACTCATTAGAAATTCTTACAGGTTTGGACAGTTCTTATGTTGATTTAGTTCTGTTCTTGCAGCTCAAAAGCAGCCACTGATGACACGAAGATGATTGGGTATGGCAGCGTTCCGATAAAACTTTATTGATGAACAAAAACCCCAGGACTTTCCTTTCATTTCCCCGCACCCATTTACAAAGGTAAAAACCGTTCTCCCTCCTGTGCTGTGAAAAGGTAGGTGGTCGGCCAGACATGGGCAGCAGTGTGCTGACTCCTAAGTCAATACAAAAAGAAAGCCACGGAGCCTCACGCTGACCTAATTCTTGCCATTTCTTTTTGTTGAAAAAACGTGCACTTTGAATTTCTGATTTGCTATAGACCCTTTGCCCGATGTCTCATCCATGAATACTTGCTAGTACCAAACTCTTACTTGCAGGAATGCTCAAGGGCCAGAGAGGGGCCTGAAGCTAGTAAGTGCTTTCCTCTGCATAATAATGAAAGTCAAGGGAAGGGTGGAAACAAAACAAGTCAAATTTACGTTAAAAAAAAAAAAGCATGCCTTTTGCTTTAAGCACAAAGAGCTTACATCTTTCATCAACACTGGAAAACATCAGGAGGTTTGTCAATATTTCATAAACTTAAATTTGGTTAAAAAAATAATGAAATGGTTGAAATGAAAAGAAAATGCTTCACTAATGAGTCTTGCTGGCTTTTCAGATCTAAGCACTTCAGAGGACAGCCAATCTCATTATCACTTCAAGCTGCTGCTCAGAAGACTAGCAGGGAGTCCAGGAGGGACCTTGCCTCTAACCACTGAGACATTAAATTGGGTTTTGATCTATTAAATGTATCACCTGAAAATGGCTGGCTCGGTGTTCAGCAAGTCTGAAAAACATGTTTGCAAATGTCTTTATTAAAATCTGGGCCACAAGGCACACAAATTATTCTACCTGAGTGGCTTTGGGGAAATGGAGCACCTTGAGATTCTCCATCATTCCCTTGGCTAAGGGGCTGGCAAGTTTGTCTTATAAATGGGTCAGATAGGCCATACTTCCAGCTCTGCAGGCTAGATGGTCTCCAGTAGCAACTCTGCCCTTATAGCAGAAAAGCAGCCAAAGTAGCCACAGACAACACATTCCCAAAGGGGCATGGATGGCTGTGTGCCAATAAAACTTTATTTACAAAGCAGGCTGCCTCAATGGTTTCCAGTTTCTACTCTAGAGCAGCTGGAACTGAAGTGCTATGAGAAACCCACACAAAAGAGGGATGTGTTCCATTCTCAAGATGACATGGGTGAAAGAAGCAAAAGGTTTCCAATATGAACCCCCAAGGGGAATGTTCAATGTGAACCCTGATGTCTGCAGCCAGGGTGGGTGCTGCAAACTGAGGGCTCCTCTTTGTTCTCCAGGTACAGCCCCTCACCTCAGCAGCAACTTCAGGTAACACACTCCAGAGCAAGTAGTGGGTGCTTATTATTTAGATGGTGGTTAAGATCCTTCTGGACCAGAAAGCCAGCTGGTGCATGTCAACAGCTGTCACTTACACAAATAGTTTATCTGGGTGGAGCTGAAAACTTCCTTATTCAGAGGTTAAACTGAAGCAGCTAATCCCCACCCTAAACTGAAGCTGCCTAATACCCACCCTTGACGAGCTGATAGGAATCTAGAACCAAGTCCTTTGGTAGGTATGTATGTATAAACATAGGTAGGAAGGAATAAATGATTGAACAAATGGACAATAAATAAAGACAAGGACATAGGCTGTCCAAGATACATTTTTCTTTGGCATTTTTAGCCTGAAGTTGTCAAGGTGGATCTCTTGTTAACAGTGACCTCAAAAAGCCACTAGGAATATACACTGAGATGTTCACTGCAGTGTTATTTATAACACACCAAAACTGGAGACAACTCAAGTCTCCATCAGTTAGGTGGTTAAATTATTAATATATCCTTATAATGGCTTATCTGCAGTTATTAAGAATGGTATTATAGGAAAAATACAGAAACAAGCTGTATTATAATTTTTCTACAATAAACATGCACTGATAATTAAGAAACTAAAACAAAATAAAATAAATGAAGGCCATAAAGCCATATCGGTGGTACATAATAATGTCACCTACTGGAGTGCTCCTGGAAGTATCAGTGAGGGAAGCCAGTGAAGGTCCTACCACTGGTGACAGCTGTGACACTTATAACAGTGGACAAAGTACAAGTGAATCAAGTGAGAAGGCCTAGCTTAAAGAGAGATTTATTGACTCTGCACAGTCATTAAAAATGAGAACCATGAAGCCTTTCTGGCAGCCCAGAAAATAAGAAGGAAGTGACACTGCAATGAAAGCAGCAAAGCCGGAACTGCCTTCCCCACTATGGGAACTATGTGGTGTACACCGACCGGCATAAGAAAAACACTGTATAGAGAATGAGAAGATGGGTCAAGATTTTCCATGCTGGAAATTGTTTCCAATTTTTTTAATTGTTGTGATCGCCCCTTCATGGCGCAGGTGTGGACTGAACAAGTGAATCTGGGTGAGAAGAGAGAAAACGGGGCAATGAGGAAACCCACAGGTATCAGGTATGGAGCGCTTACCCAGTGCTGGGCATCTGCTCAAGAGTCCGGCCCAAGTTCAAATTCGCCAAACCTTGTAACAAACCCAAGTGAGTGTGACTTTCAAGCCCATTTTAGAGATATGAAAACTGAGACTTAGAGAGGGGAAGCAGTTAGCCAAGGTCCCTCCAACAAGGACCAGAGGTGAAATCTGACCCCTTATCTAACTGAGCCTGAGCATGAGCACTTAAATGCTGTGGGATCCTATGCACCCAAAATTCAACCTATGATAAACTTGGGTACCAGTAAGTGTTCCTGAAAAGCTTCCTAAGGATTCATGATATGTGGTTTCAAAATGTACTGCAGGCTCCAACATGCATTCCCCAAAGCCACCCTGCTTATGAGAACTTAACAATGAGCTAATAGTTCTCTGGGGAAAAAATACAATTATTGAAACAAAATCTCAATGACTCCATTGTCTTCTCTGAGAACAATTCATTCCCATTACACACAAATGCCTTGCCTCATTGAAACCTCAGTGTGAATCTGAATGAGGCAGAGGTTTCCTCACACCATTCACACATCTTGAAGAATGACCAGCCACGATCTTGGCACGTCCATTCTTGCTCCAAGAATTCAGGCCAAGGCAAAACTAGACTTAGGCTATGCGCCCTGATACTTACAAACCATGGGGAGATGCCTGGACAGATTTGAAAAAGGAATAAACTACAGAAGCAATGAAGTACAATGACGTTAGCCGAGCAGTAGTACAAGTAGACTTGATCCTAGTCTAGTGAAGTCTACCTTTACCAATGGCCCTTTCTATTCTAGGTGCAGCCAGGTCAGAATCTTATTTGTCCATCTTTGTCCAACATTCATTGAGCAGAATCCAAAAAGAAACATTGTTCCTTTTGGGCAGCCTCCAAAATGAACCCTAGGTGTTTCACACAGCCTAATCAAAATTACTCAAGTTGAAAGTCAACTTCTTGGTTGAAAATGTAAAACAAAAGGTCTTTTGGGAAAATGAGCTTTATTTTCAACGCTCAATGCTCACTTAGTTCTAAAACCCTGCATGTTGGCTTTTTCCTCCCACCAGGTTTACCTACAAGTCAGGATTTCAAAAACCACAACAGACAAATCAAACACCTATGGGATCCAGGTGCTGACCACCAGCATTTCAATTTGGCAATTAAACCAGACTCTCTTTCAAAGCTTCTGTGCAAAATGCTCAACTGAGGCTCATTATTTTTTAAACCTTGAAATGCCCCACTTAAAAAACAAACCCAAAAGCCTCAAGCTTTCAGAACTAGGTCCTAATATTACCACATAAATCATTCTCACTCTAAAAACTGTACAGCCCTGGCTGGTGTGGCTCATTGGATTGAGCACCAGCCTGTACAATGGAGGGCCGCGGGTTCAATTCCTGGTCAGGGCACATGCCTGGGTTGCAGGCCAGGTCCCTGGATGGGGGCATGCAAGGCAATCAACTGACCGATGTTTCTCTTGCACATTACTTCCCATCTCTTTAAAAACAAAAAAATCTTTAAAAAAAAGTTTAATTGTACAATTAATGGCTCCTTAACAGAGTGCTTTCAAAACTAAGCAAAATTTCTCATAAAACACTTGTCTGCCCCTGCCAGCTGTTCCACACCTCTTTTCCGTGGGAACACAGTAATACTTCCTTCTTAAAGTCCTGGGGTGACAGCTACGCTGAGTGGCCAAGTAGAACTTACGTGACAGAGAAGGAACTTGGATGCAGACCTATCAACAATAAACTTTGTTATTCACAAACAGGGTCAAATAAAGAGTCTCCACCAAACTTAAAAGCCAACTTTTCTGCTTCAGATCTTCAGAAATAAATGATTTCTAAAAATCTGTTTAATTCAAACCAAAGCAATGGTTATTAAAAATACAGCAAGAAATAGCCAGAAACGTGTTTCTACTGAAAGCCTGGAGGAAGAGAGAATCCACTCTGATCAAAACTACCTTTTCTATGGGGAATGTTATCACAGCCCCTCACTCCCTCCTGAGACTCCTTAAGTAGGCAGTGTTTCAATGCAGAGACCAAAGTGAAAATGACTTTACAGAAAAAACAGTGATGTGGCCGGGAAACCATGCGCATCTTGGCGAACATTTTTTTCCACCCACCACAAGCTTGGGCTTTCTGGGTCCCTGATTTTCCAGTCAGAAACATTGTTGAAGTTATCAGGAATGACAAGAGACTCGGCATCTAGGAAGGCGTGTTCTTAGTTCCGTATCTGGAGCTCAGGAGCCAAACAACCTGGAAAATTCAAAGGGCAGAAACTCCTGTGAGAATGGAAAGCTATCAATCACTCTGAAAACACTTTTTATTTTACAAAAGATTTTATTTATTTATTTTTAGAAAGCAGGGAGAGGGGGGGAGAAGGAGAGGGAGGGAGAAAGAGAGAGAGAAACATCAATGTGTGGTTGCTTCTAGCACGCCCCCCACTGGGGACCTGGCCCGCAATCCAGGCATGTGCCCTGACTGGGAATCGAACTGCTGACCTTTCGTTCGCAGGCCAGCGCTCAACCCACTGAACCACACCAGCCAAAGCTGAAAACACTTTTAGAAAATATTTTGGCCGTAGCTGGGTAGCTGGGTAGCTCGGTTGGTTAGAGCATTGTCCTGTTCTGGTCTCATCCCACATCCCCAATTCTTGCGCATCAGGGCACATGCAAGAATCAATGCATAAGTATGAGCTCATAAGTGGAATAACAAATCAATGTTTCTCTCTTCCCCCTTCTTGTTGAAATCAAAAAAATCAAAAGTTTTTAAAGATAATATTTTATTTTGCTTTTAAGATTATTGTATACCATTTTCTCATTTTATAAGTAACTCTTCTGTTACACAACACTATGAATATATCTGACACTACTGAGCTATATACTTAAAAAATTAACAAAATCTTTTTTAAAAAAAAAAAGACCTTTGAGTAAACAAGTGATTACAGTTAACTATGTTCACTGAAGAAAATCTGGAAGACGAAAGGTCTGGAAACTACAATAAATGTCCCTGAGGTTTGGAAACGGGTGTGTGGGTTATGACACAGGCCTACTGGGGAAACCCACAGAACTGTTAATAAGATGCATATGGGAACTCTCTGTATTATCTTTGAAATGGTTCTATAAATCTAAATTTTCCAAAATAAAAAGGTTATTTAAAAAAAACAGCGAAGGAACAATTGGATCACCACGAGCCAAAGAATGAAGGTGGATCTCCACCTCATACCATACACAATAGTTAAGTCAAAATGGACCACAGGCCTAACTGTTAAAATTAAAACTATGAAATTCTTAGTGACAAAAAGAGAAAAAATAGACTGGACTTCATCAACATAAAAAAAAATTTGTGTTTCAAATGATACCTTCAAGAAAGGGAAAAGACAACCATTTAGAATGGGAGAAAATCCTTGCAAATCATGTATCTGATAAGGGACTGGTATCCACAGTATAGAAAGAACTCTTACAACTCAGTAATAACCCAATTAAAAAATGGGCAAGAGCTTTGTGAATGCAGAGGGAACACCACGAAGGCCGTGGGCACACTGCGAGAGTACAAGGCCATGGGGCGCGGCCTGCCCACCCCCAAGTGCCACACGCCTCCCCTCTGCCGCATGAGCATCTTTGCACCTAATCATGTTGTTGCCAAGTCCCGCTTCTGGTACTTTGTGTCTCAGCTGAAGAAGAAGTAATCTTCAGGGGAAATCATCTGCTGCACGCAGGTGTTCGAAAAGTCCCTGCTTCAGGTGAGAACCTCTGGATCTGGCTGTACTACAACTCCTGCAGCAGCATCCACACCCCATACCTGGGGCTGGCCACCGTAGGTGCTGTTACCCGGTGCTCCTAGGACATGGGGGCCCAGCACCACGCCCGCAACCACTCAAGCCAGATCCTAAAGGTGGAGGAAGTGCTGCTGACCAGCAGTCAATCAGTTCCCCAACTCCAAGAGCAATTTCTCTTGCCCCACTGGGTCTTTCCTGGCCAGTACAAGCCACACTTTACCACCAAGAGGACCAACACTTTCTTTTTAGATCTGCCACCTTGTAAAACAGTCTGGAGCTTATTCGAGAATAAATACAGAAGTTACCATATGACCCAGCAATTCCACTCCTGGGTATATACCAGGAAGAAATGAAAACTTAAATCTGTACAAAAACTTGTACATATATCTTCCTATCAGCATTATTCATAATAGTCAAAAAAGGAAGCATCCCAAATATCCTCAACTAATGGGTGGATGAACGAACTGCGGCACATCCATATAATGGAGTACTATTCAGCCATAGAAAGAAATGAAACCCTGATTCACGCTACAACATTGAAGACACTAGAAGACATTATGCTAGTGAAAGAAGCCAGGCACAAAGGCTATATATTCTAGGATTCCACTTATATGAAATATCCAAAACAGACATAAAGTACATCAGTGGTTTCCAGAGGCTGGGGAGGAGGAACAGGAACAACTGCTTAGTGCGAATGGGGCTTCCCTTTGGGGATGATGAACGTATTCCAGAATTAGATTGTGGTGATGGTTGCAGAACCCTACAAACACACTACAGAATCTTGAATTGTGAAAACCAGCTTCCGTTCTTCCCTTATTTACCCTTCTCTGTGGTTTGCCACCCTCAATTTCTCCCTATCTTCCTTCCAATATTTTGCTATGAAGATTTCAACAAATGGAAGAGTTCAAAGAACGGTTCAGTGAACACCCACATATGCACCACCTACATCCTGCAATTGACGCTTTGCTTTACTGCGCATCTATCCATTTACCTGACTACCTTTGTTTTTGATGTCTTTGAAAGTTAAGTTGCAGATATCAGTACTCTCAGTCCCTAAACATTCAAGCACATTTCTCCATATCTAAAGTTTCTCATGACTCTTAAATATGTCCAAAGTAGCCCAGCTCAAACAATACAGAAGTGGGTACAGAGAATAGCAAACCATCCCTCAGGCCCTGCTATAGTCACCCATGGACAGTCTGATCCTTCCAAATCCCTTACTGGAAGTGGTTCCATCTCAGACTTCAGCACCCAACCAGCATTTATTCAATGTTTACTGTGTGCTAGTCACAACTGAAGCCACAGTATGCATACAGGTAACGTCGGCCTTCTTTATTCTCAAAACATTCCCCAGTGTAGACATAACTTCTGGCACACCATCACTCACAGATGACAGCTGGTCATATGGATGTCCTTTAGGTGACCTGATTCTTCCCCTGTTCTTGGACATGTATGTGATTTCCAGTGTTTTAATATCCTGGAAAAGCCAGTCACTGCCTGACAGCTCTTTCTGGAGAAAACCTTCCCTCACTCACCACCCCTGCAGAAGAGCTGGCTTAGGTCAGGGGTCAGCACCCTCTGTGAGAGGCCACGCAGTAAGCAGTCCAGGCTCTGTGGGCCCAGGCAATCTCTGCCACAATGCCCCCAACTGCTTCAGTGCAGAAGCAGTCACAGACGTGAGCATGGCTACGTGACAGTAAAACTTCATTAGTGACAACAGGCAGGGAGTAGCTATGGCTCGTGGGCTGCAGTTTGCTGAGCCCCGACCTCAGTGGGCAGGCTGGAATGAGGAACCTTCAATCCAACTAGAACCTGGGTGACACCTAGCCAGGTCAATCAGACTTTGCTCATAGGAAATGACGTCAGGACACTGGGCTACTGATCAAGCTTGCCTTGGGCTGAGTTGGGAGAGCACAGAGCCTGAGGCTACCATCCTGGTCTCAGGCCAGAAGATGAGCAGTGAAGGAAGAAAAGGACAATAAAGCCAATGGAAAGAAAATAAAAACAATAAAAACACACCAAGTTCTTCCCTGGCGAGACAACTTTGCACATGCTGCTTCTGGTACTACCTTGCTTCCCCCAGCTCTGTAAATTGGGCTTGCTATCATTCTGGATTTAAATGGCATGTTAACAAAGAGCCTCTTCCTAACTGCCTCCTAAACTGGGAGACTCCCTCATTCCTGCCACCTCACAACTGACTCTTTCCTGTTTGTTTTCTCTCTGTGTTTCACCCGTTACATTGTGCATTCGCTAAAGGCAGGGACTATGGCTGTCTTCGTCTCAGCTGTGACCCCAGAGCACAGCCCACAGTGGGTGGCTGTGGATGAATAAATGAATGGATAGGGGGTAACCTAGAGAGATGAAGGACAGAGGAGCCACCCCTATAGTGTTCTATTTTCAGTGAGTCCTGGTCACACTTCCCATACTCATCTGCAAATTCCTCGATCTCTTCACCAGCCCTCTTTGAGCCTCAGCAGGCTTCATCTGAGCTCCCAAAAGGGGCCTCTCTGGGCATCCATCATAGTTCTCATTCCGGACCCAGAAACACTCCCTAGTGGCACCGGAAACCGCTCTCATCTTCTCATCTCTTAAGTCCTGGAAATGGCTCCTCAAACAGCCAGCTGCAATGAGGACCACCCAGCAACTCCAAATTTAGCATCTCGACTCATTCTCTTCCTCTTTGGGAGAAGCATATGAGATAGGTTCAGCATGGCCCAGAACTCTAGATTCTTCTGCTGTTTTAATCCTGAGTCTATTTACTTTGAGTCTCACAATTCATTAATGGTAGTATTAGAAATATGGCGTGAGGCTGGAAGGAAAACCAACCCAATTGGACTTTTTTTAGACTAGTAAGAATATAAAAAAGGGCATAAAAACAAAATAAAATTTTAAGGCATAAAAAGAGAATTAGTCTGAATACAGTTCTGCAGGATTCCAGCAAGGCAGGAGCAGGTCCCATCAGCATGATGGCTGTCCAACCATTTTTCACCTTGACATATGCTAAGCATACACTAAGCACAGCAGAATTGGCAAGAGATGACCAGGCCACAGGCTTGGGGAAGGCACCTTTTGGCAGCCCCTGGTGACGTACTAGACACAGCCAGGACTTGGAGAACACCATGTTCCAATCTAAGTTCCAGCCTAGACCACAGTGGTGTAGCTTAAACCCTGTAAACCCATTTCCTGTCTAGCTTGGAGAGTTCTTATTCTGAAGGCAGAAGGTGTGACACCAAAGTGCAGCTCAGAAGACAGAGACTGACCATCAGGTGGGTCATTCTGGAGAACGACGCAGAACGGCAGTAAAGGAGATGGGCAGACCTGACTTACACGATCATGCAGAACATCATGAAAACATTCCACAGGGCGATGAAGATTCGGAAGTACCTGAGGCTCAGTAAGAACTCCCGGATGTTGTCACCTGGAAAGTCAGAAAGCATGTTTACAAGCACTGTTAACATTACTGCTGTCACAGCTATAGGTGCTTGCTTCTGTGGTCTCTGCCGACCCCACACCCACTGTTCCCATGTTCCAGTGTCAGCTCCCCTTTTCCTTTGGGTCTCTTCTGATCTCCCACCCTGGGTACTCAGGCTGTAGCTACCACTGGCCAATCCTAGGAGAGCACCAGGATCCCAGCCTCTGATTGGCTCAGGGAGGAGCATAGGACTCAAGTATGCCCAGTGAGAGTCAGCCCTGGGACTTTTGCTCCAACTACTGTTTTCTGCCAGGCTTCCTTGGCTGGGATGCAAAGATATAAGCAGAGTCCTCTAAGGCAGGGGTTGGCAAACTACGGCTCAAGATCCAAAACCAGTCCCTGCCACCTGTTTCTATGTGGCTGCAGAGCTAAGAATGTTTTTCATATTTCTTAATGGTTAAAAAAAATTAAGAGTATTCAGTGAGATTGAAAACTTAAATGAATTTCAAATTTCAGTATCCACCAATAAAGTTTTATTGGAACACAGCCATGTTGTGTTCCATGACTCCAGGTGTGCCTAAAGACAATTCCACCCTTGGATGCTTTAATTTGCTTTAATCACTTTGAGCTGGTATTTAAGTATTTGCAAGTGAAAGTATACTAATTTAGTCAAGTAAAACAGGAGTTCTGCTTTGATGACAACTTACTCTAGTCCCCTCTGCTGCCAAGGAACAGAAACCACTCCAAGAGGAGGCAATCTGGTACATTAAAACTCCAGAGACCTATGTTTCAGAACCCTCCTCTGGGGTTCTGAGTCAATCCACACAAACGCCCTGCCGAGGCCTCTGGAATGAAATGAACTGGTCCAGGTGACCTTCATGGATGCTACCCAAAGTGTCATCTATAGACCACAGCTCTGAAGTACACGCAGAACACCAGGCAAGAGCTCAGAAATTATCACAGCAACCCATCGTGACAGCTACCTGGTACTGCTGTACCGTCCTGGTGTCTGATCAGCACATGGTCTTATTGAACACGTTTTAGACAAGCCCAGTAGTATCTACCCTATGGAGTAAGCTGTATGCGACACAATCTATGTAAGTGTTGGCCCAGCATGGACTTCAAATGACAGAGATGGGTCTGTCCCCAGGATGTCCCCTTGCACTGCTTGGCAAGGCCTTTCTCTGAGCTGAGGATCATGTAAATGGGCTCGCCTGTCATCAACCGATTCTGATTAAGGCCACCCATTTGTTCCAGGCAGGAGTTAAGTGTGGGGGACACGGGGAGGACAGAGACAGGGGTCCCTGTCCTACGAAGTTCTCCAGGAAGACAAATACTAAACAAGCAATCACACACTAGGAACGAGCCAAAACAAGCTGACAAGCTGGAGCCTCTTTTCTGGAGTTTAAGGTCAAGTGTGAGGGGGAAGGGGAGATGTTAACCAAATGACAGCATATTTAAAGAAAAATAACTGTAGGAAGTGATGTGTGTGCTGATCTATGCACCAAGTTCTAGCAGTAGAACAAAGTGGGTGGCAGAGGTGGGAAGAAGGCATACCACATCCTCATGCCTCTCTCTCTCTCTCTCAAATACACACATACACAACTAAAAAGAAAACTGGGGTAGGACTTGAGCAAGAATTGTCCTCTGAAATGGACCAATTCCAGAATCCAGAAAGGAGGCTTTACCTGTGCCAGGCTCCCTGGATTCCTCCCCAAAGCCTTGTGAGTCCTTCTTTTTCCTACAAAGAGAAGCAGCGTCCGTTTTCGATGGCACACGAGGACCGCCCAGTCCCTTGGCCTCAAAGAGCCACAGACAGCCCTACCGCTGACTTGCTGTGACCTCCAGAGGTTCGATGACCCTCTCTGAGAGCCCACCTGCCCCACCCATTACAGCCACGGACAAGGTGAAGAAGCTAGTCCCTGAATACAGGTTAGGGATGAGTTTTTAGGGCCTGAGGCTCTTCGGGGTGTGAGAAGAGGAGTCCCCGGGGAACTGAGTGTCACGATCTCAAGTTGCGATGGGGCAGAGACCAGACTGCAAGCAGGGCCAGAGGGCGGAGTGAGACTTGGGAGCGGGACCTGCGACGTGGGGCTGGCACACGCTCGCGGAGGCGGGGCCACGGGTAGCCAGCTGGGGCCGCGGGTTTACGAAGCCTACTCACAGCTTAAAATTAAGCACCGCTCCGGCGTTCATCAGAAGCGTCCTGCGGAGGAAGAATACGGTTACCTAAGCCGCCCCCAACAAATAGAGCCGTCGGGCTCTATTGTCCAGCCTCTAGTCCCCTTAATTACCCGAAGAGCAGGATGTCTCCGATCATCGTTACAGCTGAAACGTCCGATTGAACCAGAAGCGGAAGTTCCGAGAAGAAAGGGGAGTTGAACAAGAGCCGACCAATCGCAAGTCAGCGTTGGTGAGGACTGAGCCAATCGAAGGCCAAGGTGGTGTCTGGTCTTGCAGGCCCGGCCCCCTTAGGGAAGAGGTAGCGCCAGTAGTCGCTGTTGAGGCCAAAGGCATAGTGGTGTAGAACAGGGCGAGGGTGTGACGTCTCCGACGGGAGGGACCATCTAGAGGCGGAATTAGGTCACTTATTGGAGGCGTGCCTCACTGGTCTTAGCGACCCACCCGCTGTAGAGGTAGTGCTGTGGCGTTTTCTTCTGGAGTCTCAGCTGGGTCTTCGAAAGAAACGGGGCCCCTGACTACTGAGCTGCACAGGGAAATGGATCTTGATGCAGTGGGTCCTCCCGGGCATGGACGCCCCGACTGATTGGGGAGGGTCCTTCTGGGCCCCTTGAGAGGCGGGGATCATCCCCCGTTGCCGGTGGCGGGTCATCCCTACCGAGGGGTTCTCTTAGGAGGACGGAAGTCCCCGTAGGGGAGAGTGGTCATGATTTACTAAGCCACACGGAAGACTTGGGGTAATGACAGCTGCACGGAGAATGAGTGAAGGGGCCACCTTCAGGGCTCGGGAAGATGGAGTTCTCCACTAATCAGGCCCCACAGGGGATGGAGGTCCTGATCCTAGGGCTCCGCAGATGACGTGGGTCCTCATCGCGTCCCATCTGGACGCGGTCCTGACTAATTCGTACCCCCTGGGTGGGCTGCGTGCGTAAGGGACCTCCTCTCCCCAAATGGACGGCTCACCGGCCCAACTCACTCCACCAGGGCGAGCACTCCACCTCTCTGGGCTGAATGGGGTCGTGATGGCCCAGAGGAGGGACAAAGTAAGGGGCACTTGACTGGCCGGGCTCCTTGGGACAGGACTGCCTCACGACAGCTGTCGCCCCTCCTCCCGCTCCGGCAGGGTTGGGGGCGGTGCCTGGCGGGTGGGGGCGGGCCGAGCGGTGGGGGCGCAGTCGCCGAGCGGCGGGCAGCGGGACGCTCGGGGCTGGGGGCTGGGGTGGGACCGGGCGCACGCCATGGAGCTGCTGTCCGCTCTGAGCCTGGGAGAGCTGGCGCTCAGCTTCTCTCGAGTGCCGTTGTTCCCTGTCTTCGACCTCAGCTACTTCATAGTCTCCATCCTCTACCTCAAGTATGAGCCAGGTGAGCCAGAGCAGGGATTTGGAGGGGGCCGGCATCGCGGGGCGGCGGTGGGGGGTGGTGGTGCGAGGAGCAAGAAGCTCTGGATTGTTGGGGAGACAGTCCCAGGAACGGGTGCGGGAGAGCAGGCAGACAGGTGCTGGGATCGTGGGGTTCTTCAGTACCGGGATGGGCAAGAGGGAGAAACGTGAGGGAGGGCAAGAAGTGAAGAAGCCCCCCTCCCCCCGAGATGTTAGGGCTGGGGAAGGAGAAGTAGATGAGGGCTGAAGGGAAGGAGAGGAACGTGATAGGTCAGAGGAGGGGGAACAGGTGTTGGAGAGGGGGCAGGGAGAGAAGGTCGGGGTCCTAGTAGTGGAGGGTCGCATGAAGTTCGGGGAGGGGCTAGGTCGTGGTGAGGATACGGGCGGGGGTGGGCGCTGCCGGCTCCGCAGATGTCTTGGCCGCCCGCGACAGTGACCTCCCTCCTTGCCCTTGGCTAGGGAGCAGGAGCGGCGGCTGAGTGTCTATATAAGGGCCGGTTGTGCTGGGGTCAGGTTCAGAGAAAGTGACACCAGTGCCCCCTCCCCGCTGCAGCCAAGGGGCTACCTTCCCCTCAGCGAGGCTGTACTGGATCTCCGCTCCCTGCGGGAATTCCTCCAGCCCTGGCCCTCGTCCTTTCCATTTACTGAGCAGAATCGTCCCTGGGACCGGGTAATTTGGGGTCATCCTCCCACCAGCTCCAGACTCCCATGGAGAATCGCAGAGGGGAAGACCCAGCTTCTAGGATTTAAACACACACACGTTTTTCAAATGAGGGTAAATGGCCTCCACAGAATGTGTTCTATTTTTATACAAGGTTCACTGAATATTCCTCATACTCCTAGTATTCTAATTATTATAGTACACCAGCAAACCAAATGAAATGGACAGTAGAATTAAGCTTCAGAAAAAAGGTCACCCAAGACTTTGTTACTGTTTCTCCCACTTAGATGTAAATCATCCCTATATTCTCTTCTCATAATGGAAATAGCTTTTTTTAATGATAAAAATAGGTGCTCCTGTATATTTTAAAATCAAGCCAAAAAGCACAAAGGAAAAAAGAGAGGATTACAGCTGACGTGGTGGCCACCCTCTCAAGACCTCTGTTCTCTGCGTTGATACCCCCAGAGTTATGAATGTATGCAAATAAGATTATATGCTGCTTGCCAAGTGCTTTGTTCAGTTTTATTTTTGCCAACCTACAAGCCAGAGCCTATTTTTTAAAAAGCTTTTCTGTAGAGCAGTTACTTTGCAAAGCAAAATAAGCTTTGTATTGCTGTAAGATGACCACGGGGCTGTGTTTCCTGCCTGGTGTGACTCAGGCCATTCCCAAGACAAGTTCAGAACCCAGCACACCTTGGTAAATCTCAAACGGTGGAGCAGGAGCCTCCTAGGAATGTAGGACACAGGTGTCTGGAGGAAAGGGGTCTCCAGGCTGGCTGGGAGTGTGCAGGAAGGGTCAGGACATTCCTACTGAGTCACAGAGTAAGTCCTCTGAACTGGAGGTGTAGGAACCTGAAGGTTCCTGAATATCGAGAGAGTTCAGCTGTTCTCACCCCCTTGCTGCACATTAGAGCTTCCCGGGGGCTCTTAAACCCTCCGATTGATTCAGAATATCTGGTAGTGGGCTCTGGTATCCTTGTGTTTGAAGTTCCCCTCCCCCAGTGATTGCTGTCTGCTGTCAAGGTTGAGAACCTCTGCCCAGTTCAACCCCCTCCTTTTGTAACTGGGGAAATTAGGAAACAGGGGCTAAGCTAAATTACATAAGCCGTGAGCCCTAGTCCTGTGGCTGGTGGATGCTGGCCTTAGGATTCCAACCCAGGCCTGCTTAACCCCAGGAATTACTAGGATTACTCTGGGGTACTTGCTTCTCCCTTAGAAAAGGGAGGTGTTGGACTTAGCTATTAGCCCCCCAGTTTGGTGGTCCTGCTAAGCCTCTCTGTAACAGTTTTCTCGAAGAATCCCTGTGCTGATTGCAGGAGCAGCTTCAGAATCTGCAGAGTTTCTTGTTCAGAAATTAAGAATTTCTGGACAATGACGGCAGAAGAGCAGACTGAATGCAGGCCCTCTGAGCACTGGGTCTGGGGCCACTGCATAGGTAGCACTCTCGAAGAAGAAGAGAGCTGAGCTGCCTGTGAGGGAAAATCTCCAAATTGGGAGTGATTCTGCCTGTAGCATAGGCTAGTTATGGAGTCTCCATGAGCTCCATTTGCTCGTCTGTGAAATGGGCTCATTGGTAAAATAACCCTGGGTTCACTTTCCTGGCTTTTGTGAAGATCTACTGAGATCCGCTGAGAACTGCCAGGGTCTAAGGCACTTGGGAGAGGTACTTACAATCACTTTGGGAGTGTGTTTCCTGGGATGCAAGCATTTTCTGGGGTAGGCTTTCCTGAGAATGAGGACAAAGCTCAGAGTGGGGTCCTCAAAGTGGACCCCACCATCTCTGTCCCCTGGGAACTGGCTAAGAAATGCAGAATGCCAGGCCCACCCCCCACCCAGACTTGCATTTGAATAAGGTCCCCATCAGCACACTAACATTTGAGAAGTGATGAACTATAAGAGGCTGGAGCTCCTTGTTAAACCAGGAGCTAATTCATGGGGCTGGGGGCTTGGGTCTGGTTCACTTCCAGGCAAGAAGTCAGGAGGAAGCAGTGGGTGCTCGGCTGCATGATTGAAGGAACGAAGGAACGAATGAATTACAATCCTGGTTACCTTAAGCCTGACCCATCCAAAGAACTTTTCAGACCAGTGGTCCTCTAATTAGACCCACCTGCAAAGCTTTTACAACTCCTCTTGTCCAGTGCCCCTCAGTTATTTAAATCAGAACCGCAGCAGATAGTGCTAGCATCCGTGGTTTTTTTTTTTTTTGGACTGGGAAAATTAACATATGTCCATTCCTATACTTTTGCCAATAAAATGTGTTTTATAAAATGTTTTTTTTACCTTTTTAAAAAAGATTTTATTTATTTTTAGAGAGAGAGGAAGGGAGGGAGAAAGAGAGGGAGAGAAAACATCGTTGTCTGAGAGATACATCGATCAGTTGCCTCTCACACGCCCTAATCTGGGGACCTGGCTCACAGACCAGGCACATGCCCTGACTGGGAATTGAACCTGAGACCCTTCGGTTTGCAGGCTGGTGCTCAACCCACTGAGCCACACCAGCCAGGGCTAAAATGCTTTTATCGCACCACTTAAACATTTTCTAAAATGTACTTTTCAATTATAGTTGGCATATTAGGTTGGCTAAAAAGTCCATTTAGTTCTTTTCATAAAATAAACAACACATTTTTTATTTTCACCAATAACTTTGTTGGTTTGGATATTTTGAGTGTGTCGGCTATCTCCTGCTCTTACCTTCTAGTGGGTAGAGGCCAGGGGTGCTGCTAAACATCTTCCAGTGCATGAGACAGCCCCACAGCAAAGAATTATTTGGCCAAAATGTCAATAGTACCAAGAAATTCTGCAGACCACTTTTGACACGTTCGATCAGTCACAGCACCTTCTCCATACACTGCACAAATCTTTTTTTTGCATTCAGTTGCATTTTTACCTTTCTTGAAATAATAAAGCATAATACACTGAAAATGTTGCATATTTTCTTCCATCTTCAATATTAAAATGGCTGCATAAAAATTCACCAATTTTTATATTTTTTTAAACGCATGTTGATATGACAGCTGTCACAATACACAATGTAACACAATTGTTTTGAATGAAGTTAAATACAACTAAGCACAGCTAGGGCCATCATATGGAAAAAACTAAACGAACTTGGCCAACCCAATGCAATAGCATATTAGTTTCAAGTGTTTTAAAGTTCCCCAGATGAGAGCTGGCCTCCGCCCCAGGGTTTCCCAACCTCGGCGCTAGTGATGGTTGGGGCCAGACCATGCTCTGTGGTAGGGGCAGTCCTGTGCATTTGGGTATGTTTTGCAGCATTCTTGATCTCCACCCACCGGATGCTGGTATCACAACCCATCATGACAACCAAAAATGCCCCCATACATTGCCATTGTCCCAGACTTTTGCTTTGAATTGAGAACCATGGATCTCCAGGAGTGTCCAACCATTTGGTGTCCCTGGGCCACACTGGAAGAAGAAAAGTTGTCTTGGACTACATATTAAATACACAAACACTAAGGGAAACTGATAAGCAGAAAAAAGTTATAAACAAAAAAAAAGTTCTAGGGAAATTTACGATTTTGTGTTGAGCCGCATTCATAGCCACCCTGTGCTGCCCGGAGGCCTCAGGTGCTTCGAAGGGCCAGGCAGGTGATACACGGGAAGCAATAAACCAGCCAGGTGGGGACCATGCCCAGGTGAGATCCAGGCAGGCTCATCTTCACCTGGTTGGGCCTGGCGCCACCAGAACTGGTTTTTCAAGGGAAACTGGAAATGTGATTTGGCTGTTAGAACACTTTCTTTCTTCTCTCTTTTTTTTAATTTAATAGACTTTATTTTTTAGAACAATTTTAGATCCAGATCAAAAGTAAGCTGAAACTGCAGTTTCCATAGGCTCACTGACCACCAGCACCACACACACTTAGCCTTCCCCCATTTGTTACAGTCAGTGAACCAACATTATTACTGACATTGTTATTATCAGGTACCATTATCATAGACTGTCAGCGTCATTATCAACCAGTCTCTAGTTTACATTAGAAATCTTCGGTGTTGTGCATTTATGAATTTCAACACATGTATCTACTAACACTTTCACTGCCCTAAAAATCCCCATGCTCCACCTCTTCATCGCTCTCCCTCACCCCTCACCCCCACCAACCCCTGATCTCTTTACTGTCTTCATAGTTCTGCCTTTTCTGGAATGTTAAAGAGTTGGACTCACACAGTCTGTATAATTTCCAAACTAGCTTCTTTTACTAATATGCATTTAAGTTTCCTCCATGTCTTTTTGTGGCTCGATAGCTAATTTCTTTTTAGTGTTAAATAATATTCCATGGTATGGCTATACCACAGTTTAATTATCACCTATTGAAGGACATCTTAGTTGCAGTTTGAACGTTTTAAAAGTTCCGTGTGCACTAAGAACAATTCCCTGATCTCTGGTGTGAACTGAAAGCTTTCTCTAGATCGGTGCTGCTCATCCTTCAGCCTTGCAAGGCAGGGACTACCAACTCCTTCTACAGGGAGGGAAACTGAGGCAGAGAGCTGTGCTCAAAGACTCGGAGAGAGTATTAAGAGTTGCAGAAAGACTCTAAATTTTACCTCTCTGTGGACCTCAGACTAAATGGCACTGAAGGAGGGGCAGTGCTGACCATGCCCTGGGGAACCTTCTAGCTCGCCCCTGCCATCCACAGACTGCAGGCTGAGAGAGAATGCCCTGGACCCCACCGAGGATGGAACCTGGGACCTGACTAAGGTTTCCCCTCCCTCCCGAGGCAGAGCTGACTTATAAATTCATCCACTAGAATTTGCGCCCACAGGTACTTTCCATTTCAGTTCAGTTCCAGGAATAACTCTCGCATAACCACTAGGCACTCAGCAGTTTCTTTTCATCCTCACGAGCGCAATGGGGTGACCAAGTCACCCAGATTGGCCCAAGACAAGAACCCAAGATCCCTTTTCCCGGGAACTCCCAGGTCCCAGGCAAACTGGGATGGTCAGTCATTCCAGACAGCAGCCCTGTTATACACATGAGTAAATTGAAGCCAGCAGGGGGAGGACTTTGGTGGCTAACTGGGGGTTGAAACCTATATTCTGCTGCTTCTGCATGCTGCTCCCAAACCAAAGAGTGTGGCAAAGGGAAGGAGCCAGGGGGACAGTGTCCCAGCCACTGCCTTGCTGGGGGTCCTCAGGGCAGGTTGTCTCTGAAAGCCTCAGTCTTCCCATTGGTGGCAATGGGGAGACTCTTGCTGTTGTTCCAGGACCACCAGGAGGGTGTTGACACTGATAAGAAGTGTGATGAAGATCAGGTACCTTGCCTTGAGTCATTAGTACAGCTTGGTGAAGGGGGCCCTCTCATTCTCTTTTGACAGCAGAGAAGACAACCAGAGGTTGGGAAGGGGGCAGTGTTTGCCCAAGGCCACGCCCAAGTGAGCAGCAGAATCAAAAACCCAGACATGTGGCTTTTTAAAAATTAGGACTCACCTGGTATAAAAACAGAGCCTGCTTTAGTCCTGCAAAACCCAGGCTCCCCATGCCTCCCCAGTCTCAGCCTCTGGGGTGGCCTCAGAGGGCACAAGAAAAGCCCTGGAAAGAATTCAACCCCTGAGGGTTATTTTTAAATGCAGAGGTATCCATTTCTGCAAAGCATGGGTGCCTCACCTGACCCGGTCCCTGCAGAACCCACCAGCTGCTCTGAAGGATTATCACTCTGCTGGCAGCACTCTGAGAAGAGAACACTCTGCTTTCTTCAGCCCCGCAGTCCCTCCCTCGGTAAATGCTGCAACTTTAGGACGACCCGAGGGCAGGGACAAGATGCACATGGTGCTTGTAACTCCACGGTGAGGTTGAGGAGGGCAGATTCAGTCCCAGCCATTGCTAGAGGAGTTGGGCAAAGAAGGGGTTAAGGGCTTGCACCTGACAGAAGGAAAGGGAAGCAGAGGGAAAAATAACTGTCTAAGATCACAGGGTTAGTCGGGGGGATGGCAAAGAGAAAGGGGAGTGTGCTGGTGACTTCCTCTGAAACAGCTTTTATTGGGCATGCTTTCCAGTTGTAAAATGTGTAGAAGAAAATGAGTGACTAACCCATGGACAACAGTAGAAATGAGTATTCCTCTTAAAAATATTATGCGCAGTGAAAGAGACAAATGCAAAATGCCATGCTATACAATGCCACCTACATGTAATACAGAAGGTCCAGGACATTTTCATCACGCGAGAAGGAGACCCCGTCCCCATCAGCAGACACTCCCCCAGTCCCTGGCCACCACTGACCTGCTTTCTGTCTTTATGGATTTGCCTGTTCAAAACATTTCATGTAAATAGAATCATACAATATATGGCCTTTTCTGTTGGCTTCTTGCACTTAGCATGTTTTTCAAGATTCATCCATGTTGTGGTATCTATGAAGATTTCATTTCTTTTTTAAACATTAGTTTCTTTTCCATATACAGTTGCCATACAACATGATATTAGTTTCAGGTGTACAACATGGTGATGAGACATTTGTATACCTTACAGAGTGAGCACCCCAATAAAGACTTCATTCCTTTCTAAGGCTGGTTGATGTCCACTCTGTGGGTGTGTCACATCTTGTAGCTATTGGGCATTTGACGGATGCAGGAGTTGTTTCCACCCTTCAGTGACTGGGAATCAGGAACATGGACTTTTAAGAGTCTTCTGGAAATGTATGGTGGGTTCTTATGGATAGAACAGCATGGAACACCCCACTGCCCGCCCAAGGCAGTGAGACTCCGGTTCCTGGACCCCCGTCCACAGCCATCAGGGAGGGGAAGGCGGGAAGGACCCCAGAGGGGGCTCAGTGCGGGTGGGGCCCTAGTGCAGAAAGGCAGAGCAGCCCATGTCCTTCCTCCTCACCTCCTTTCGGGGGGTGGGGATGCTCTTGTTTTTTCTGGGTTTGATGACTAAATATTTCAAATACAATAAATACTACAGTTACCTCTGTCCCCTCCACTCAGACCTAACAGATGTGAACATAGATTTGCTTCAGATATGTTTTTTTAAAATATTTTATTTATTTATCTTTAGAGGGGAAGGGAAGGAGAGAGGGAGAGAAACATCAATGTATGGTTGCCTTTCGTGCGTCCCCTGCTGGGAACTGGCCTGCAACCCAGGCATGTGTCCTGACTGGGAATCAAACCGCGATTGTCTGGTTTGCAGGCCCGCACTCAATCCACTGAGCTACACCAGCCAGGGCCAGATATGCTTTTTTAAAACACAGTGGCACACACGGCCAACCCTGCCCCTTACCCTCTCACCCTCTCTAGGTGTGACCGCCACCCTAAACTCAGCCTGTAGCATTCCGGTCACTGTGTTCGTACCTTCACCACTGCCCATGTGTCTGTGACTACAGTAGTTCCCACCCCCGCCCCCATTCGTGGTTTTTCTTTCTTGTAATTTCAGTCATTTGCGGTCAAACAGGAATTTATTCTCTTACAGTTCTGGAGGCCAGAAGGCCAAAGTCAAGGTGTCAGGAGATTGGCTCCTTCTGGAGGCTGTAGGGGAGGATCCTTCCAAGCCTCTCCTCCGACTTCTGGCGTTGCTAGTGATCCTTGGTGTGCCTTGGCTCGTAGACGTGGCATCAGCCTCTGCCTCTGTCTTCATGTGGCCTTCTGTATGAAGTTCTTGAGGCTCATATAACAAAGTACCACAAACTGGGTGGCTTAAAAAAGCAAATGTGTCATCTCACAGTTCCAGAGGCCAGAAGTCCAAAGTCAAGGTGGCAGTGGGGCCGTGCTCTCTCCAGTGCTGCTAGAGAGGAATCTTCCCAGGCTTCTTCCCGGTTTCGGGAGGTGGCTCGTGCCCTCGCTGTCTCGGGGCTCACAGCTGCAGCTCACAGTCTCTGCTCCATGTTCACAGGGCCCCCCCTCGTCTCTGCTCTGCATAAGGGCAGGAGGCATTGGATTAGAGCCCACCCTAATGACCTCATCTTAATATTTCCAAAAGAAGTCACATTCATGGGAACCAGGGGTTAGGACATCAGTATGTCATTTTGAACACCAGGGTTCAACTCATAACACCTTCTCTGTGTGTGTCTGGAATATTATTCAGCCTTAAAAAAGAAGGAAATTCTGACATATGCTACAACATGGATAAAAATTGGGGACAGTATGCTGAGTGAAGTAAACCAGTCACAAAGAGACAAGTGTGGTACTTTAGGATGCTGCCCCTCCCCCCACCCCCCAGGAGCAGTGGAGCTGTCCCGGCGCCACCCCACGGCGTCCTGGCTGTGCGCCATGCTGCACTGCTTCGGGAGTTACATCCTGGCCGATCTGCTCCTCGGGGAGCCCCTGATCGACTACTTCAGCAACAACTCCAGCGTCCTGCTGGCCTCAGCCGTCTGGTAAGCATCTCAGGCTGGCAGGGTGCGGGGAACAGAGCCGGCATGCAGGGGTGCCCCGTCCACCAGGGAGGTGGGAGGAACTGGGACCCAGCAGCAGGACCTCCACAGTGGCCCTGAAGGCACCGCCCTCTGTGGCCCAGCGCCGTCATGATAATAGACATATGGGAAGGAGGACTCTGGATACAACCTCGTTTCCCAGGGGCCCCCAGAATCTGTCTCCCTGCTGATGCTTGGCATTCTGTCCCTGAAGGTACCTGATTTTCTTCTGCCCCATGGACCTCTTTTACAAGTGTGTCTGCTTCCTGCCTGTGAAACTCATCTTTGTGGCCATGAAGGAAGTGGTGAGAGTGCGCAAGATCGCTGTGGGCATCCACCACGCACATCACCACTACCACCACGGGTGGTTCGTCATGATCGCCACTGGCTGGGTCAAGGGTAAATAATGGGACCATGGCGATGGCAATGGGAAATCACCCAGTTGTGAACCCCTGTTCAGTGGCACGTATCGGGCGCCCCAGCTGGCACAGCCATTGCTCCGGGCTAAAGGGTGTCAGGGCTGCTGCCAGGGTCCAGGCTCTCCTTAGCCAACACCTTAGAGCAGATGAGAACGTCCTTCCAGGAATTTAACTGTCCAAGGTAAATGACAGCTGATACCTCGAGCAGGGTTTCTCAGCTGTGGCACTGCCGACATTTGGGGCTGGGTCACCCTGGGGTGGGGCCGTCCTCTGCATGGTCAGGTGCTGGGCGGCAGTCCTGGCCTTCACCTACCGGCAGCACACCCTCTCCCAAGTCCTGACGACTAAAAATGTCTCCAGACATTGCCAGACGCCTTCTTGGGAGGCAAAATCACCTCAGTTGAGAACCCCGGGCGCAGTGGTTCGAGAATCCCAGTTACACAGCTGACCCCAGAGAGGGCATTCCAGCCTTCTTAGCGAGTGCATGTGGGATAAAGGGGAAGATTCTGCCTTGAAGTTCAACCATCATGTCTCCACGCGGGTCTCCTTACTCTCTCTGGCAAGACTGTACTCTGTACTAATTCCCCAGGGGAATAGCATGCCTCCTGGAGGGTAGGTGGCGTGAGAAAGATGGAGAGCCCAGAGCACTAAGGAGAGAGGCCGTGGGGGGGGGGCGCTCTGCAAGCCTCGTGCACAGCTCAGGGTCCTGGACTGGGAGCGTCAGGGTAGACGGCCCAGAGCCGTCCAAGTCTTTCTAGGGGATAGTAGCTCAATTCCTTCATGCTTGTTTTGCTCCAAATGTGCTGTGTGACCTTTGGCAAGAATCTGCCTGCTCTGAGCATGTTTCCTCACCTGTGTCTGATCATCATACACCCTGGGCTCATTGTCCCTCTGAGCGAATTCCAGGAGCAGAGAGTCCGCTTCTGTGGGAATTCAGCCAAAAAGGAAGCTGGGAGTGGCAGGCTCGCTCACAAGCACCCTGTTCCGTAGGCTCTGGAGTCGCCCTCATGTCCAACTTCGAGCAGCTGCTCCGGGGGGTCTGGAAGCCAGAGACCAATGAGATCTTGCACATGTCCTTGTGAGTACCCCGTCCTTTTTCTCTGTTCCTCCTGTGCCCCTGGGCCTGACCCTGGGTTGGATACTTCCGGTGACTGGGAGGTCTCAGCTCTTGATTCTGCCGTCAGAAGCTTCCACAGGCCATGTCGGGGGAAACCCAGAGAGGAAACTACAATTCTTCCTAGAGGGGAAGGGCAGGCAGAGATACAAGATCAGATTGTTCATCTGGGTGTTGAAGAGTGAATAGGAGTTTTCTGGCACAGAAGGGGACTCTGGACAGAGGCCATCACCTCTGCCAACTGTCAAGTCAGGAAAAAAGAACAACACTTCTGCAGGGCAGGAGCACAGCGGGGGGTGGGCACTGTGGCTGGAGCTGAAGGTGGAGCGTGGTGGGCAGAGCCAAACTGCAACATCCAGGACCCAACCCAGAACCCCATGCGGCATTTGGCCTAACACATTTTTTAAAGACTTCACAGTAAATTTTTCCCCAATCTACAATAAGTAAAACTATAGCCATGAAAATATGACAAAATTAAAAGGCCTACCTATAGACCAATGAAAATTACCTCTCGTTTACACTTTGGAAAATGTGGGTTGATCTCATTTCACCCCACCCCCGATTTTACTGGCCGAGAGGCTGGCCCCAGACGGCTGCACTGCCTGCTGCTGAGTGGGTGGGTGGCCTCCCCTCTCAGGTTCTGTTCCCGCCTCATGAGCTAAGGGTGAGGGTTCCATGGACTCACAGACATATTCCCCATCCTGGTGCCTGGCAAGTGCTCCGGAAATATCAGTTGGAGCCGTTGTGTTCAAGTATGTGCAGTGAATGACAGACATCAGGAACAGGAGTCCTGGGTCTGCCTCTTGCAACAAGGTAAAATCCTAGAAGCCTAGTCTGCAACGAAGAAAAGGAAAGTCAAGAAAAACCATGTGTTGTAATCACACCTCCCAAGGGAGTGTGCTGTTTGGGGGTCCCTCAGGTTTGACGATTTGCTGGAAGGACTCACAGAACTCGGCACAACCCTTTCACTCAGGTTCCAGTTTATTACAGGAAAAGGACCCAGATTCAAATGGGCAAAGGCAAGATGCACGTGGGGCAGCGTCCAGGAGAGACCAGGCTTGCGCTCCTGGTCCCCTGTCCGTGGCGCTGCGTGGACAGACGGTGGCTGTTTCTCCCAGCACCCACGTGCGACTACATGCGTTGAATGTGGCCAGCCACCACACTTCTCCAGGCTCTGGTGTCCAGGGTTTTTACTGGCGCTCGGTGACACAGACAGCTGTTCACCCATGTGACTGACGTCAGCCTCCAGCTCCTCCAGCAGCTGAGCTGAGATCACGTGGCCCAAGACCCCCGCCCTAAATCACACTGTTACTGTCTGGCGTGACCCCAAGACCCCAAGTAAACAAAACCTCCTGCCACGTAGGACATTCCCAAGGCTTAGAGGGCACCTCCCAGAATCCAGAGGCAAAGACCAGATCCCTGTTTGAGTCAAATTAACCCTTTACTGCACAGAGAGACCCCACCTCCTCCTCCATGCCATGTGGGCACCTTCCATTTCACACTCAGAAGCCAGAGGGAGGTGGGGCTGGCTGGGCAGAGGCGGAGAAGGACGTCTCAGGTAGAGCTGCACAGGCCTGAGCCCTGCCATGCATCCTAGTAACCATGGCTGTCCCCTTCAGCCCCACCAAGGCCAGCCTGTACGGAGCTGTACTCTTCACCCTCCAGCAGACCCGCTGGCTTCCAGTGTCCAAAGCCAGTCTCATCTTTATCTTCACCATGTTCATGGTGTCCTGTAAGGTAAGGCTTCCTGTCTTGACCCACGCCCACACATACCTCTGGACGGGGGGGCTATGACTCCCAGCCTCTGGAAAGGCAAACCCTAAGGGCTTGGAGGGTAGGAGCTGGCCAGCAGGAGCTGGCCGGTAGGTCCGTGCATGGAAGAGGGTCTGAGTGAGCAACGCCCCTCAGTGAAGACAGGAGTGAGGAATTGAGTCCTCCTCCGTAAACAGCCCAGCCTAGGCAAAGGCGAGATGGGGGCAGGAGTGTCCAGGGTCTGTCTGGATCTGCCTGGATCTGCGTGCTTTGGGTGTGGAGAACAGAGGGACAAGATGCAGGGAAGGCACCCTCAGGATGCTGGGGACTTGGGCTAGACCAACAGGGATGCAGGTCTGATCCTCAGGCCTTGACTTGGAGTCACCCCACCCTCCAGGGGGTTTTGAGGGGCCCATGGATCTGGGGAGCTCGGTTGCTGGCTCCCTGGGACAGGACAAAGGCCATCAAAAGGGAACAAGTGACTCCAGGCGCCAAAAGTCCCACATCCTGGGACAGTTGGTCACCCTCCTGGGGGAAGGGGTATGTGCAGCCAGAAGGCTGAGTCTGGGCTACCTTTGACTTTGACCTGGCTGACCTTCTCTCCCCTCTCACCCCTGCCCCTCTCACCCCTGCCCCTCTGCTTTCTCTCTCCATCTTCCTCTGGCTCTCTCACTGTCTCCCTGTCTCACTGTCTCCCTGTCCCCTTGTCCCCCTTTTACCCCTCCTCAGGTGTTCCTGACAGCCACTCACTCCCACAGTTCCCCTTTTGATGTTCTGGAAGGTTACATCTGTCCTGTGCTGTTTGGGACAGCCTTGGGGGGTGACCATCACCATGACAACCACGGTGGGGCCCATGGAGGGTCCCACGGTGGCAGTGGGCCCGGCTCCCTGCACTCAGCCATGGCCACCAAGTCCAAGGAGGAGCTGAGCGAGGGCTCCAGGAAGAAGAAGACCAAGAAGGCAGATTAGGAGGTGGCCCAGCGGGCCTGTTGGGTGCTAGGGAGAAGACCTGGACCCAAAACCCTCAGAGTCAGGAGTAGAGAGGTGTCCTGGGCTCAGTTGTCCCCTCTTGAGGCTTCAACTTCCCCATCTGTGAACTGGGGCCATTAGCCTACCCTCCGCCCCTGATGTGAGGGGTTAGATGAGATATGGGGGTAAAGGACATTTGTAGGAATGGGGGTCCCTCTCTGCAGAACCCCTGTAGAGTCACAGATTTTTTGGGGGGTGCACAGAATCCTGGCAGTGTCTCTAGCCAGATACACTGCCAGTTATATTCTTGGTTCTATTATTTCCTCTCTAAAATTATGTTTTGACTCTAAATTTCAAGCAGCATTGAGACTCATTCATTTGTTGGATGATTCCTAAGTGACTCCTGCGAGGCAGCTGCTGAGATTTTCACGTCTCCTTGCCAACTCCTCCTGGGTATGCAGGGGCAAGGTGCCTCCCCGTCGAAGCTTTGTGTTTCCCACCTGTGTGATGGGGTCCCCTGGCCCTCCTCTGTACACAAGGGCTGACGTGAGGCCGGACACGAACCTGCCTCACAAGCGCAGAAGCACTGCGCAGTCGGGAGAAGAGTCTGTGATGGGTGTTCACTGTGCTTGAGAACAGCTTTGTGTTTTAGATCATTTGTGTTTGTGGACTGGAGACCCTCGTGTTACCTGGTGTGAAGGAGGCCTTCCGTAGACACATCTAGGCCAGACTTGAGAGCTTGGGGGGTGGGAAAGGCTTGTTCTGATCCTTGGCTTTGGGCCACCCCTAATCCAAAGAAGTGCAGCTGGGTGGGTGGGGGTTCCAAGGTCCAGCTTTGGCTGGGGCTCCAGGCACTTGCCGTTGGACCCTGGAAGCATCAGGCCTTCCTCGTGCCAGCGTTCTTCATTGCCACTCATTCAACAACCGTGTTGCCGCCTACTCTGCCAAGCCTTGTGCTACTGCTGGGAAGGTTAGGGACTTGCTTCTGGGTGAGTGAGGGGGTTGGCAGATGAAGGCCCCTCCCAGCTACCTTCATCTCATCCTAGGTCACCAGGATGGCTGGGAGGGGTGGGTGAGTTGAGTATGGCCTGTTTCAGGTGGGGTTGGGCCCAGACCAGGCCTCCAAGAGGCTGCCTTCTGCATATCAGTGCGCAGGGGGCACTCAGGGCAGTAGTCCGCAGCTGCTTCGAGATTGGCTTGGGGTTATTGGGGTCCCAGGTGTTGCCCAGCTGCTGGGAAAGTGCCTTGATCTGGTGACACCTGGGAGCTGGGGGGCCCTGAAGCTGTAAGGCCCTGAATTCATCCTCTTGCATGTCCACCAAGGCTCAGCATGAAGGTTCAGAAAATATATCTGTTGTGAGAGAACCTTGTTGGCTTGTCCAGTTCATTCCTGCTCTTCTCTTAGAGATGCTCAGAGTTTCCAGGGGAATGAGGCTCATGACAGCCCTGACGACCAGTGGGAGATGGTGGCTACGGGCGAGGGCCGTGGGATTTGGGGTTAAACAGACCTGGGTTCAAGCTCTTGCTCTGCCACCAACAGGTCATGAGACTTCCCCTCTTCGAAGCCTGTTTGCTTCTCGGGAAGGCAGGGGGTTGTTATCACTGTCCTTCAAAGACCGGGGCAATAATGGGGGGTCGGGGTTTGTGGCTATGAGTCTATGAAAGATTCTGTTAATAGAAAATGACAAGCCATAGACTAGGAGAAAATCTCTGAAAGTCACATATCTGGTCAAGAATTGTATCCAGCCCTGACCAGTGTGGTTCAGTCACATCCTCCTGCAAAGCAAAAGGTCAGGGCGCGTGCCCGGGTTACAGGTTCGGTTCCCAGTTGGGGCAAGTACAAGAGGCAACTGATTGATGTTTCTCTTCCTCTCTTTCTCCCTCCTTTCCCCTCTCTCTAAAAAGAAATAAAATCTTTTTTTAAAAAAAAGAATTGTATCCAAAATATATAAAGAACTCTCAAAACTCAATAAATATAAGAAAACAAACATCCCAATTTTAAAAAGAGCAAAGGATTTGAGTGGACATTTTGCCATAGAGAATATATAGGTAGCATAGAAATAAGCACACAAAGAGACCCCCAACTTCCTTGGCCATCAGGGAAATGGGTGGGAAGGTATCACTGCACACCCATGAGGATGGCTAAAATTATGAAGACCGATCATACCAAGTGGTTGCGAGGCTGTGGAGCAACTAGAACTCTGATGCGCCGTGGGCAGTGCAGCTCCTGTGGGAGACAGTTGGGCAGTTGCCTAAAAAGTTGAACTTGCACCTGCCATAGGACTCATCATTCCACTCTTGGGTACTTGCCCAAAAGAAAGTATGTGTCCCCACAAAGACATGCCTGCGAAAGTTCATAGCAGCTTTGCTTGTAATGGCCCCAAACTGGAAACAGATGCCCCCCAACAGTGAGTGGGTGAATATCTGCCCTGTCCGATGGAATACTGCTCGATAATAAAAAGGAACCAAATGCAATATCGTGAATGGGGCTTCAAATGCACTGTGATAGGTGAAAAAAAGCCATCCAAAAATAGCGTGTACTGTCCGAATCCCGTTATATAAAATTCTAGAAACAGAAAGCTGATCATCTCTAGTAACGGAAAGCTGACTGCTGGGTGCTTGGGGAGAAGTGGCAGGGGTGGGAGTCCTGGCCGGGCAGCTCTCTTGGTCCTGTTACAACAAGGTTGTGGGTTCGATCCCTGGTCAGGACACATACAAGAACCAACCAATGAAAGCATAAATAAGTAGAACAATAAATATTTCTCTCTCTCTCTCTCTCCCCAGTAAATAAAAAAATTTTAAAAGCACCAGGGAACTGGGACATGGGTGCCTTCACCATCCTGATTGTGGCAATGGCATCACGGGTCTACATACATCACAATTTATCAAATTGTGCACTTATTAATATGAACAGTTTACTCTAGGGCTATGGTACCTCAATCAAATTGGAAAAAATCTTCAGTAAGAAAAAGAATTAAGCAAAAGATTTGAACACACAGTTCACCAAAGAAAATATATGGATGGCAAGTAATCACAGGACATACACACTAAGACCACAACAAAACACCACTTTATATTGTCATGGGCTGAACAGTGTCACCCTCAAAGCTTATATGTTGAAGTCCCGGGCTGTAGAACCTCAGACTGTAACGAGAGTTGGAGGTGGGGTCTTTGAAAAAATGATTAGGTTCCAACAGGCCCTTAGCACGGACCCCAGTCCAATACGATTTGTGTGTCAGAAGAGGAGATGAGGGTGCAGAAATACGCAGCAAGAAGGTTGGGGAGGACACAGAGGAAACCAGCCTGCCAGCATCTTAGACTTCTAGGTACCAGAACAGTAAGAAAGTAAATTTCTGTCCTTTAAGCCACCCTGTGTCTGTGGTGGCAGCCCTAGGGCACTAATGTAACAGCTCAGGACAGATCATGTAGACGTACCTGCCCCAACTGGTGTGCTCAGTGGGCTGGGCGTTGTCCCACAAATGACCTTTCAGCCACCGGTTCAATTCCCAGTCAGGGCACATGCCTGGGTTGTGAGCCAGGTCCCCAGCTGCGGGCATAAGAGAAGCAACTGGTTGATGTTCCTCCCTCTCCCTCCATTCCTCTCTCTCTAAAGCATAAGTAAATAATCTAAAAAAAACCTAACCATGCCAGGTGTGCTAAAGATTCGGAGCAAATGGAACATGCACAGAGTGCTGGTAGGAAACAAGCAGTTTCTTATGAAATTAAACCATATAACACACCAATCCCATTCCTACGTGAAACACAAGCTCATGGTCACCTTAAAAATGTTTAAAATAAGCTAATTATGGTGATCATCACCAAAAGCTGGAAGCATCCCAAATGTCCATCAGCTGGCAAGTGGATGAACATCATGTACATTGGTCCCATCATGCAGTGGAATACTACTCAGTGATGAAAAAGAGCACACTTCTGATGCCGCAAAGTGGATGAATCGCAAATGCATCTGCTAAGTGAAAGGAGCCAGACACACTACATCCTGTGGGCTCCCACCCAAGGATGGTTTAGGAAAGGCAAAGTTGTAGGCACAGAGGACAGGTCGGTGGGTGCCAGGGGCTGGAGGAGGGAGGAGAGATGGAGTGAAGAGGGGCCAAGGGGATTTGGGAAGGGTGACGGAACAGTTCTGTGTCTTGATTGTGGCGGGGCATCCGCACCTGTGTCTTTGTCAAAACTAACAGAACCATATGCTAAGAATTCTACTTTAATCCAAAATGAAAAGGATAAAACAATACATGCCAAAGTTTCTCACACTGGTTCACAGCCTGGCTTTTCACTTGCAAGGTGTGTGGCATTGGGCAGGTAACTCCCCTTCTTCAAGCCTTGGTTTCCTCTTGGGATAGCTAGCAAGAGTGGCTGGAAAGCCCTTGGCCCAGGCGGAGGTCTGGACTGGATCACCAAGCCCAGCTCCTGGAGGACCCGTAGCACTGCCTGCGCTCACTAGCGACCAGTGGGTGTGGGCGATAAGCTGGCTCCCTGCCTTCTGGCACAAATGTTCCGAGAGCTCATTTTATGAGAGGACAGACTGTACCAAAATAGCCTCTAGGCCTATTTTTGGAGGAGGGTGGGCAAACTGGCGGCAGGCTGGTTGGGGATGATTGGCGGGGCAGGCTGACCCCGTGCCCGCTGCAGGTGCAAAATCCCCGAGGGCTGGCTCTCAAGTCCGGCCTAATTTTAGCTGCAGCCGTCATGCTCAGTAGCTTCTTAGGTCATGAGCTGAAAGATTCTTTTATTATTATTGTGAAATATACAACATAAAATTCACCACCTTAACCATTTCTAAATATACACATTCCAGTGGTGCCAGGTACGTTCACCTTGTTGCACAGCCGTCCCCACTGTCCACCTCTGGAACTCTTTCCATCTCGCAAAGCTAAAACTCCAAATGTTAAACACCAACCCCCCTCCACCTCCCCCGTCCCTGGCATCCACCCCTCCACTTCCTTCTCTGTGAATCTGACTCCTCTAGGAACGCACGTGAGTGGGACCACACCGTGCTCGTCCCTTTCTGGTGGACTCATTTCACTCAGCATGATGTCCTCGGGGTTCATCCGTATTAGAGTGTGTGCCAGAATTCCCTTCCTTTTTAGGGCTGGATAATATTCCATCATGTGGATACACATATTTTGTTTATCTGTTCACCAGCTGATGGAACTTGGGTTGCTTCCACCTTTCAGATGTTGTGAATAATGCTACCGGGAACACAGGCGTGCAAGGGTATGTATTTGAGACCCTGCTTACTGTTCTTTTGGATATACACCAAAAAGTGAAATTTCTGGAGCATCTTTATTTAATGTGTTGAGGCCCCATGGCCCATCACTTATGTTGCATTCTTTCCTTAGAAGCAAATCCCAGGCCCCTACACCGAAGGCTAGGGAATCCACAGAGACTGCCCTCAATTTGCCCACCGTGTCTCATAAGCAAATCCAGACCACGAATGAAGCTAGAAATTTCTATTAAGTGCTTGCAACATGCCAGGCACAGAAGCACGTGTTACAGATTGTATGCCTTTGAGGTGAGTCATTTTACGGAAAAAAAAACCTCCGGCTCAGAAGCAAAGCAACTTGGAGAGCTAATGGTGGGGTGGGCTTAGAGGCCAGGTCTATTTTCTTCCAAAGCCTACACTTTCCCTTTACACTTGCTTCCCTGAATCTCTGTAGGGAAGCATGAGACACACACGTGGGAAGAGGTTAGCAGAGTGATGCAGAACAGATGCTCAGCAAGGGTGAGGCCCCCACCCAACAGTTACCGCAGACGTGGGTGGTTATAACTGTATTTACCTTGTACGTTCCGGTTGGTACCTGCCTGGAGGCATCTGGAAAAATTCCCAGCTCAATTAGGGGAGGAAATGAACACCTAATTGAGCCCCTCAAAGTCGACTGAGAGATCAAAGTGAAGGCACAAAGGCAGGATGTTTGGCAGGCCTGAGAGTGAGTTCTGGTTTTGCTCCTAACTTGCCAAGTGATTCTGGGTGAACGCCTCTTTGTTAAATGAAAATGTTGGACTAGGTCAATGGAGGGTAACCTATGGCCTGAGGGCCAAATCCAGCTCACTGCTTGCACTCGTAAATAAAGTTTTATTGGCATACAGCCACACTCAGCTGTTTACATATCGTCTATGGCCTCTCTCAACCTCCAACAACAGAATGGAGTCATCAAAACAGCCTGTCTGGCCTGCACAGCTGAAAATATTGACTGTGGCTTTTTGTAGAAAAAGTTTGCCCACCCCTGGGCCGGGTGATTTTTAAGACTCTTTCTGACTGTAAGTATATGATCATTCATAGAAGGAATGAATAGCACAATAACGAGGTAAAGCCAAGAGAGCTATATCTGACTCCACTGCAAAGGGGC